AGTAAATAAATATTATGGAACAGATATTATCATGTAAATAAAAAACAATCAACATTTTAGATATTGTAATAATGAAAAATTTTTAATATATTATAGATTTCATTAATTACACTAATTTTACTATAATAAAGTCAAATATTAACTTTCGAAAACAATGATATAATACGGTAAACTTAAATACAACATAGTTAACGTAAGTACCTATACTTCTAATTTTTAAACAAGTTTATTTTTCAATTTTCTAGATAATAATTTATATATATAGGTATATAACTATAATCGACAAGTTCAATATATTACACTACTAAATATAATTTTACAACTAATTTAAACATGATAATATATCTAAATATACCTTCCTTGGTATTCACTTAACCTTGTAAAGTATCTATACAAAAACCATTTAAAATAACAGTTATACGTGTATTTATAATATGTAAGTATACCTATAATAATAAAATATTGTATACACTATACATGTGTATTATTATATATGCATATAAATTACGAATTAAATGTTAAAAATTAAACTTATTTATAACTTGTAAAACAAATTATCAAAAAACTAATTGTTTGTAGAAAAATATTTTAATAAAAAAAAAAAAAAAAAAAAAAATGTTAATCTTTTATTTCAAAGAAACGCATAATATGTAAATAAAAAATAATTATTCATATAGATAATTCAAACAATAAAATATACTTAAATAAAAATAAAGGAAATAATTGTTTGAATATTTAAAAATTTAAAGAGTGCCAAGTTTTTTTTTTTTTTTGTGCAGAATATTATTTAACATGCAACAACAATGGTACAATAGTAATCGATAATTAAATAAACATCAAAGAAGATTTGTATTTAAAAATGATTTCCGTTATTAAAGTTATTATAAATATATAATATTGTCACTGTAACTTGCATTAGAAACGTACCTAATTAAATTATATTAAAAATTAATTTACTAAAAATTTCAATACACATAAATATTTGTGATTCAAAAATTATTTTCTAGCCATAACATTTTTATTAGTCATTCTAATGCGTACAATTATATCATACTTAATTAAATGTGTAGGTATTACTATCAACGAATTAATAATACAATAAAGGTATCAGCCACAAGGTACTGCACTTTTTTAAATAATATTTACTATTTTTAATATGTATATAATAATAATGTAACTATTATATAAGTAGGAACTTCAAATTTAAATAACACATCATTATTTTATTTTATACGCAATATAAATACATATCTATAGGATTTCTGTTTGAAATACTTCATACGATTTCAAAACATCGGTTATTTATAATAAATAACATTTCTTAGGACCATCCTACTATTATTATTTTATAAATAAAATTTCAAATTATCGATAAAATACAAGTTTAAAATATTAGCATACTGAAAAACATACGTTTTATAATAACATGTTGATTTATCTATCATCGTTGTGAAAAGTTAAAAACGTGCAAAGAGAGCTATATATTTAATTTATTTAAAATTTAACAATTAGTTATGATCACTATGTATTTTTATGAACCCATAAAAATATTGAATGAATTTATTTTATGATATTCTAAATAAAAAACAAATACCTGTTTTACGAATAATATTATTAGTTTTAAATTTATTTTCTATTTTAATAAAATGTTAACAAATAACAAATTTAAAATAAAATTAGTCATCATAAAATATTATACCGAAGTATTATTGATTTTATTTGACAATTATTGAATATTCAAAAAATAAGCATTTTTTTTTCTTAAGGAATTATTCATAGGTTGACAGACTTGAGTACTCAACTAGATATTGTCACTTATATTTTGTAAGTATAAGTAGAATTTACGTACATAGTCATATAACAGCTGGTAGATAGTATTATTTTTAGCTTTATATTCAAATATACAATAATATTAATAATATGATTACACCAATACTTAAATGCATAAACCATCCAAAATTTAAATAGTTAACTTGTATTTTGAAGTATTGAGAAAATGTTATAATGTATAATAAAAAAAAAATATATTAATATATTTGATAGAATGCGCATTTTATAAAGTAGATAATATTATTAATGATTACTGATTAAACTAGGTTGTAAGACAAGTAACCTTAGCAGAAACTTTACAGTATTTGTAAGGGTAGTGCATTTGTAATTAATAGTTCTGAGCCCGCATGGACACTATTGTCAGCATGATTTATGTTGAAGCTTTTATTTAGAAATTGGAGCGTTTAAAAAGAAGTATTTCTTATAAGGGCTTCATCAATTATTTTCTAAAATATAATATTAGTTAAATCAATTTTTTTTTTTAGTGAAATTTAAATATTTCATACATTTTGTAACTTTTTATTGATTTAATGTAATTTATAAATTAATACATTTTGTATTAAAAACATTTTTGTTAATTATATTATACTTATACTAATACAGTATAAACGTTAGTTATTTGACCAATTGTATGATTTGGAAATGTTTTTTTTTTTTTTTTGTTTGTTTGATTATTAAGTAAAGATAAATTAATTCTACATTCAAATTAATTATATCGTTATTGAATATAAATATTTTCATTTTTAAACTTACAAAACCATTTTATTTGGCTAAAGTTTTTAAGTATATTTTCACAAAACCGAATTTCTATAGATTTACTGGTTTGAACAGTTAGGTGTTGATTTTGTATACAGCAATGAGTACTGCGCACCAAAATCCGGTTATACATTTTGTATATATAAAGTTTTCAAATTTTTATTTATGTATGCATATAGACATAATACAAAACTTTAAATGTAGTTAGGTTTAAATTGCTTAAGTTCAATATAAAAAAAAGGAGGAAAAGAAGCTTTGTAGTAGCTTTGCAATCTGCCTAATTTTAAACGAAAATTTAATTTATACCCACATCAATTTAGTATCAAAGTGATGATTTTAGATCAAAAATGTATTAAAATAATTCATAATTATATATTATAATAATCTTTAAAAAAAATAATAGACCTCATTAAACATATTCGAACATACTGTTTCATTATTTAATATGTAACTTGAATTTGAAATTATTTATTACTTTTATATGTACAATGTACATATTATAAATTAAAATTATTTGTAAACTAAGATAATCCTCGACCTCCACATGAGTTTTATTCAGTAAATCTCAGTAATCTTTTTGATATTAATTTAAATAAATGAAAAAAAATAAAAAATATTTATTTTTTTCGTTACACATAGTTGTTAAATTAAAAATATAACAATACAAATTATTACCTAAATTATTTGCTACCATAAAATAGTATAAATTAAATTTCTTACAAATATTTTATACTATGATAAAATTATATTTTAAGATAAACACAGATAATTACATACCTCAGTTATGTTTCTTAAGAGGACACTACATCCACATTTTTCGTCTCCATATTATAAGCATGCAACATGGTAAATTTGTGTTCAATAGAACCGATTTTGTTATTAACTTTAATATTAGAGTGAATTGTTCTATTTTAAGTTACAAGTAAAAATAATAATCCGTACTTAAGCATTGGCATTTTTCGATATTTTTATTTTTATACAAACATATTATTATTGTAAATATTACAAATTGAAATTCTTATATCTAGCTTAAGAGTTAAAATGTAAATGTGAAACCAACGCTTAAGTACGGTTAAATAAATATTTTTACCATTAACATCGATAATAAATCAATTCACTCTGGTATTAAAAATAATAACACAGAATTAGCGTTATGTAAATTTAGTTTTTGTATGTTTGTAAGACGAAGACAAAAAATAGGTGTAGTATCCTGCTCTTAATATTCTTGTATTGTTAAGTTGTGAAAAGGATATCAAAATATGAAAATTTACGTTTCAATCGAATAGTGGTGGATACCAAAATAGAAATATTTAGTTTTGTATTAAAATTATTTAAATATACCATACTTTATTTTTTTTTGTCTATCTTACATAAAATATTATAAAAATATGTTTTTTTTTTTTTTAATTAGAATCTTTGATATTATGAATAAGTAGTAGAAAAATATATATAAAATATTTTTAAAAACTAATTAAACTTATATAATTTAAAATATTTAAGTAATAATAATTAATCTGCATAGTAAGTATACATATTAAAAATGCAATGTGGTCTATATCAGTAAAGTATTTTAAAAGTTGTAATATTTTTATAATTAATAAATAAATTTATTTTGTGCGTAAAAAAAAGTATTATACCTGTGTTGTTTTTTCTTTTTTTTTTCTTTTGGATAAACTAGCAAATTAAGTATATTCCATATTTAAAACTGTTTAAAAAATATAAATTCAAACGCACTAAAAAAAGAAATACCTACTTTATAAAGAATATTTATTAGTTATTATACCTAATTATTCTATACAATGTTAGATTAAATATTTAATATTATATGCGTATATAATAATGTAAAAAAAGTTAATTTAAAGATACCTACGCAATAGTCGATTTAATTATATTCATAAAAATATGTATTGAATAAATCTATGCTGAAATATCTGATTATGTTACAGTTAAACAATTTAAATTTTATATTTAATATATTTTATTCAACTTTATAGAGTATTATGTTTCTAAGCAATATGAGTTGTGAATAATACATTACTTCGTGACTTATAAATTGTCACACCTATAAGCCATTTTAACAGTAATATAATAGGTACCTCGTTTAATGGTTAATAAATTATGATAAAAGTTAAAAGCGTAATCTAAATCACACTTATAAGTGATAGTTGAGAAATTCATTTAACTTATTACTTAAGAATTAAGATCAACACTTTTGAACATTTTAAAATTTAATATTTTAATAAAAGAACCTATAAACATCCTACATTAAAATATCAGTACTATTTCCTGGTATTTGTTAAAAACATTTTGTTTACTTGTATTATTAAGTTTGACATTTATCATTTAAAGATTATAAATAGCACTTTAAGTTATAAATGCATCATAATAATTTAATGTATAGAAAAAATACTTACAACAATAATCCGATTTTTAAATGATAAAATAAGATTTGGTGGAACTTCTTCTAGTGCACATGATTTTAATATTGGCTGGAACCTGCCATCACCATTTATTTCTAAAAAAGAATTAAAGTAGATTAAAGTAATATGTCATTTCAATGTGTCATTTAGTACCCATACTACCCATATAATAATTTCATTAAATAATATATACTATATACTATATAGTTATTATTTAAATCAAAGATTTAAATTATTAATTTTAAAAATACATATACCTACCTAATAATACGTATTAACTTTCTTTACTATACTTAAGTAAATATCTAATATAAATTATGTCTAAGATTATTAAATGTATGTGAGCTAAGTGTTCATCTATACCTATACTACTGACTTTTATAACTATTGATATACGTGGCCTCGCTATTTTCATAATTAAATAGGATGTCAAGTTTATTTATTTAACAATTACGTTTCATGTACTTGTTTTTACAATCAAGTAACACTCAATTCAAATACTTATGATTTTTATTATCAATGACTCTATATTGTTACCATAGTTACCATAATTTACAACTCAGTTAAAAATAATATACTGAATACTATTAATCCTATTCAAAATCAAAGTATATGTCTGGCATATAGAATTTCTAGTACTAGCTCTGTAGTTAGTACATTTTCAATACGGATGAACTTCCTCTAGGATCAATACGTCAAAACCATATACTCAAATATATACCAAGAATTTAAAATCTACCTGATCATATATTTATAAAAATACTTCACAACCCTTTTCCCGCCAACTCACTGAATAACAGGTTTACCGCACTTTTGAAAATTTTAAAATTATCATTGTGAATCTTGGCTTCTATACACAAACTTTGAACAAAATACAACGCACTTCTTCCCCTTGACTATGGTCACCTAAAATCAATACCTACACAACTTACACAATACGTACAGCACTTTTATTCGCAATCTCTTCTTGGAATAATGTCTCAAAAATACTTCAATAGTACACCTATATAACTAATGCATTTGACAATATCATTTTAGTGGGTTTTGTGGTAATCATAGGACATCATACATTTTCACTTCCTCCCAGTACTAATATCTACACAGCGAAAACTTATGCTATCTCCTAAGTTCTTAAAATCACGTCCTCCTAAAATTCAGATTCTTTCATTATCATAAATAACTCTCTTAGTGCCAAACTTCAATCAGAAATTCTTAATCTAAGAATGAGCTAGTAAACTACATCTAAAAATTGATATTATAATTCACTAAAACGATCACTTTCATATGGTCTCTTTCCATATTGGAATACCCTGGTAACGAAATAGCTGATAAAATCGCAAATAAGCTACACTAAAACTTAACTTTACCACATCCTCAAAGATACCATTACTAGCCACCATTAACCTAAAACTTTGGAAACATGGCAAAAAAACTGGAGTGATGTTCTTCTTACAAATAAATTTTAAAAAATAAAGCTTTCCATTAAAAAAAAATGAAATTTCTCCCTAAGCCTAAAAAGAAAATACGAAGTTATTATAACTTGAGTCGGAATAGACTACATGTGCCTTACCCACTCTTTCCTCATCTCTTAAAAATTTTCCCGAATATTCTATACATGCAAGGCAAACCTCTCGATTGTCCGCATCGTTATTAGATACCCAAAATACACCAGAACGTGGAAAATAGTCAACAACCCAACATTTTTCCAACTAGCTATCAGTGAAGAAAACACCGATGCAATCTACACATTTGTCCACACCATACATTTAAGTAAAATTGTAAATAAATATAAATATTTCAATCTTGTTTTTCGTAACATGTTTATTTGTATGCTTAGTACCCATGTTGTTGAACACTATATTTTAAATTAAAAAAAAAAAATTATTAGTTAATATAAATTGTATTTATTTTTTTTAGTCTAAAGTATAAAAATATAAAAACAAGGCTACTTAGTTTTACACCTCGAAAATCGCTTCAATCGTAAATAATAATAGTAATAGTAATAATGTTATGCGTTAATCGGTGGACGTTTCTCGTGATGATTATTTCGGAAATAATTGCTGGTAACTAACTGCCGTGATAATTCACTTCCTTTGTCTAACATGAAACTGAAGTCGGTTTCAGTGGTTAGAAGATCACTTGGGATTACCAACGATTACCGACTGTGACAACGTTTCAGATCACGTAGTTTATTGTCACAGATAATTGGGTTATCTATCTTCAAAAGTCAAAGTTGCGATTGGCAAACCAAATGATCGACCGCACTTCTTTACTCGAACCATAGAACTTAATATTAACATCGATTTCACTGGATTTTGGGGGTTAAAACCTTTTAAGATTAGTAAATGTTCAAAATTGATGTTTGTACATTTCCATAATAGAATATTATAATTGTACACTACCCTATGGGTTATTGTGTCATTGCGAATTTAATAAGCATATTTTTAACCAAATATTTTCTTTTGGTGTACATTGTACAATATTGATTGTTATTTTTGGATGTTACAAAATGTAATAATAGTAAAAAAAAAAAAACCTTTTTGATCATATCAATTTTAATATTTTATGACAAAAATACAATAAATTACAATTTGATAAAATAAATAATAATTTAATAATAATAAAATAAATCATATACCTATATTAAAATAGATTAAAGATATTTCTATTTATGTAAATTATTGATAAAAACTGATATTTAATATAACATATAATTTATAAGTATTAGACGTAATAATTTTTATAAGCATATAAGAAAAGTTTATTTTTTTAAGGACCATTAGAGTCAATATTCTTCAAGATCAATATGATGGTGACTAACTATTTCAATAATCAATGTTTTTTTTATTTAGATATCACAAAAATATAAGAAAATAAATAAGATGTAGCAAAATTCAATGTAAATTTCTATATTATGTATTTGGTGTACATATTGAGTAAAAAGAAATTTTAATAATTTAGAAATATATTTTTCATAAATAAATTATAATTATAATTAATAATACATAATATAATTTAGTGTTAAGTTTTTTTTTTTTTTTTTTTATAAACAATTAATATATTATATTATCAACTATAATAACATTCATGGTCATAATACCTATATAATATTATTATATTGAAAATAAAAGTTTATTTAAAAAAAAAAACCATTTTAATTTTCCATTTATCCAGATTTTAAAATTTAAAACACATTGCCGAGTAAAAAATTTTAAATAAATAAAATATGACTTTTATTTTTAATTTCTTTACATGTGGAAAGTTAAAAACTACATGGAATTAATTTAATAATAAATAAAAAACTAAGTAAACGGTTACTGCTCTAATGTACATTATTGCGGATGTGTTAAATGTTTGAATTCAATTATAGGTATATCATCATACACGACAAACGATTCTGAAGTCAATCAGCTTATATCACAAACTATATATCATGATATGATATGCAATTTATTCTACTTCTAATACTACGGTAGATTGATATAATATTTTTCAAAAATATTGCATTTATTATATTATAATTAATATACATATTTGTGCCATATGTATTATATCCAACTTATATAATTCAAAATTTAAAAATATATATCTATTTTTATCCAAATTTAAACTTAAAATGTTTTTTAAAAAAAAATTGTCTTTTTATATTAATTAGATTTTATAAGTTCAAAATGAACTACTTATGATAAATTTTGTCTTAAATTTTTAAAACTCAGGTATAAAAAGAAAAGTTTTTTATGAATTTCCAACTACAAAATAATTAGCATATTTTTGCGATTTTGGCAAATTTTATCAAAATTCTTACTTCAAATTCATATGAAAAAAATTTATAAGAAATCTTCTATTTCATTTTCAACAATTTTAACACAGCAAATAATGTTTTGTTGACAATTATAGAAAAAAAAATAATAATAATAATAATATTGAGAAGTCATCATGCTTATAAACAGCTCAAAAATAATCAAAACATTTTATTGTAAATAGAAAATGATAAAAAAAATATTTGGTGAAAATATCAAGTGCCTGCCTACGATATTTTGTTTTTGATTTACTCAAAAAACAAAATGTATTTTGTTGAAAATTGTATTTGCGTAAAAATCTTTGTTTTATTCCTTCATTATTTTTTCCAATTAAAAAGTAATAGGAATTTTTACTTTTGAATCTACATGTACCAATTAGATCTACTTAACTACCAGAAACCACTCTCATTTTTTTTAAAATTGAAGCATTTTTATTGACTCAAAATATAATGACAGACAAAAAAAAACACACACACATCATAAAATAAATTCATTGGAGCATTCAAAATGTATAACTGAGAGGTGTTGATTTCAATTATTTTTTCATATTTTAAAAAAATAAATATGACTACTTAATTCATAAGAATAAAATAAATGAATAAGCATAACATAAAACATTTTAAACACTTACAAAATATAAAATTAAAACTATAAGAGTTAATAAGATATCTGACTACTTTTAAATAAGTATATTGAAATTACTACATAACCATAAAGTTATAAATATATTAAAACTATAATATAATATTATATATTCTGCGCATTATCATTTATCAACTAGCAAATTTTTTTCTGGTCATCGATGTGTACAAGTTTTTATATCTATATTATTTATATGAATGTTTTCTTTAATGTTTGCTTTATTTATTTAGTATTATCAAACTGTTATTCAATTTAAGAAATTCTTACTCTACATTACTGTACAAATAGTAAATATAATCAAGATTTGAGAGAGTTTTAAATAAAATTGTGCCTTTTCAAAATAACCCGAAGCATTATCAGAGCAGGAAATGCTAAAATAAAAAAGTAATATGTACGTTTAATAATTATTTACATAATCGAAAACCTTAAATTTAATACTAAATATAAATAAAAATAAAATAAAAAACCAACTCATTACGCAATTATTTATTTTGTTAAAATGATGAATAATTTAATATTCTATGGTTTAAAATTAAAAATTAAAAACCAGACATCAATGAAATCTTCCTCATTTTATATATTTTTCAATAATCAACATTGCCATTAAATTAAAAAAAAAATTATTTATATTTAAATAACTAACAAATATTCACAAATTTGATAAATTTTTTTATACGCATTCATTAATATAAAAATTGTTTAAAATTGTAATATTTTATTATGCTTGAGAAGAGTTAATTATAAATATTGTTGAATACAGAATAATATTTATATTTATGTCACGTTTGTAGTCTGTATGACACAAAATTTGACAAAAGACATAATTTAAATATTTAATATATATATTATATCCAATTTTATGAAAGTATATTAGTTTTAAGTAAAGAACATTTTTTAATATCGGATTTGATTGGTTGTTAGAGTTTAACAAACAAATGTATAATTAGTTTATAATTATAAATAAGCAGACCATAATACATTACACATAAGTTAAGCAAAGTCTTGAAATAGTTGTATCTTATTTGAGATAAATATTTGTAAATGACATGATGTATAGCATCATATTATGGTTTCACATTGTTTATAGCTTGTAACAAGAGCCCTTCCAGTTATGACAATTGAACACATTATATTACACAGTGAGAATTATAGACTGCAGAGACAAGTTATAGTACATTTTGATGTAATATTAACAAAGTACAAGTATGCCTACGGAGAAACGCAATTATCCAATTATGTCATTCGTATTATAATACACATATAGTGTATAATGGTAAATATATTGACATTCAGTGTTGTAGGTATTTGAAAAAGTTAATTTATGTACAAGATATTGTATAAAATTTAATTCATAGTAAATTTCCTACTTGTAACTTACTTAATATCAATAATTTGAACAAATTTAAATTTAAACATTACAAAATTAACGACAGTGTAAGTACACTGTTTATCTGACGACTGGTTTCTTTTTTTACTTTCCATCTGCATACAATAAATTATTTACAAAATTGGTCAACAATTATAACAACTAAATTTCCAAGTACCTATACTAAAAATAATTCTTATATGTATGATACTTAAAACTTACAAGCAATTATCATATTTTTTTTTCAATACTTTATTATATTATTGACATATGGCAAAAGAAAGAAAGTAAGGAAATTTAACTGACAGTATTGAAATATAAAAAACATTTTAGATAAAACATCTGAAAGTTTTTTCAAAATTTAATGGGAATTGGAGATAAAGTATCATAATTCATCATAAGTTTTTTTTTTTTTTTTAATATAATTCATTACTTTGTTATAAATATAAATTTAAGCGTTTAGATTAATACCTACTAAACTATCGTAAATATCAACTATGTACAATTATAATATATTAAATCAATTGAATATAATATGGTCATAATATATAATGTGTAAATTATAGAGAAAAATACAAAAGTCACGATAAAAGAGTATGTACTAAACTTTTTTAGTATGCAAACATATGCATAATATGCATACACGAATGAAATAATGTAACAAAAAAAAAAATAATCGTCTCTTCGAGGTGCTACTAAAATAACTAAAATTGTCAACATTTTCAGTAAACCACTTATTTTAAGGGTTTTTGAGTGAAAGAGAATAGCCTGGGGAAGGAAATGATTTATATTTCTTAATGGATATTAAAACGAAGACGAACAAACCACAATATACATATATATATAAGCACGTATTAATGTATACGCACCTTGGCACAGAGGACCAACCCATTGGCCCGAAACACATTTTATCTTGCAGATCCTGGACGGAGCTTCAGTCTCCTCGGAGGATGACGACGCCAATGATTTCGATCCCTTCCTAGAAGGAGACGATAGGCGTGCTGGGAATTTCACTTCGGACAATGTTGAAAAGTCCGACGACATTCCCGACCGTGGAACAACTCTAGTACCATTTAGTGTAAGGCCGGGTGAAGGACAGCCACCACCATCGGCTAAAAAAAAAATTACAAGTTAATGATCACAATGTCTTGTTTAAAACAATTAATTTTTATTTTATTTTTTGAAAAATTAAATTTATGTAAATTATCTTAGAGTAAATAATTTACAAAAGTTCCTACTTAATTGTCACTATAATGTTATTAATCTGTGCGTAAATACATAATTATAAAATTATAAAATCAGTAAAAACACGCTCACTTACATTTATCAAATATTGGTCAGCAACAGTTATATATAGCCAAAATACCTAAGTACCGCAACAATTTAAAATCATATTAATTAAGAGTGCTCATTTTTCATTTAATTTTTTAGAGTGATAAATATTGAAGATAAAAGTATTAAAATTTTCATAAAATAAAAACATTTAAATAACTTTTAAAAACTGAATAACTTACAAAAAAGATATGTTAATGTCTATAGGTAACATTTTACTCAGATAATAAGAGTTACTTTAGACAGCGATAGATTTTCGTCCGTTTTTGTAGTTAGATCACACCCAGTGGCGGATAAAAATATTTTATGTTACCGGGAATTGCTATCAAGGATTAAAGTGAAGGGCCCCTGGCCACTAAATAAAAAATGTGATAGTGCTGAGGTAAGGATATAGGGGAACTGTACATACAATTTAGATGAGAGCCTATTGAGAAAATTCCGATTTCCCTATAGCCCTATCCGCCACTTTATACTAATCGATTAAATCGGTTTTTATCGACTTCCGCGGTTAGTTTTTGTGTCCGACAGTTGACCAAAAATGAGCTAAAAAAATACTTTACCATGTAAAATAGTAAAATTTAAACTATGCGTTGGTAAAATATTAAAGCGATGCTTTCGAGAGAGCGACACCCAAAATATAAATTAGCCACACCCATTGCCTCTGTTTGAGTTTACACTTATTTGAAACAGACTATAGTTTTATCAGCTTTTGTAAAATGGAAATGCATACAATTCGTGCTAAAATGTAATCATTTTTAATTGAAACGAATTTTCGACCATAGATTTTGATATTCAATTATTTTTACATTTATAATTTTAACTAGGTACAAATTATTGTAATTTTATTTCTAAAAAATAAATTACGAGATAAATTACGTTTGTAGGCATACATTGTGAATTTAACATTGCCAGTAATATATTATATAGGGCTGTCTTAATCTCTACATATCCAGTCATAATCTAAGTTAAGACTAATAAATATATAAGGTAATTTTAAACAAAAATTCATAATTGTTTATATCTTACTAGTTAAATATTTATAAAAAAATCGATAAAAGTCGTAAATTAAAAGCTTTATACAAAAAAAATATTTAAAAATTGTCTATATTTCATTGATTTTTCTAAGTTAAAAATTTTTTTTATGAATATTTTCTACATAAATATATATTGTAGAAAGTGCATTATTATGTTATGTACTTGGTTAACATTTTACCAGTTTAATTTTCAATATAAAAGCGAAAATAAACAATTCGATTTCTTTAATATAACTTTACGATTACTTACCGAAGGATTCAGTGTTGAAAATGTTTTATTAATTTTATTATTAATTTATTATTAGCTTAAAAATAAAATAAAACAATATTTTTTTTGTAATATGTTCAACCATATATTGGATTATAAATAGATTATAACTTGAAAACAAGTAGAATTTCAATTTATTTTAATAGTATTTAATATTTAAAAAGTAATAATGTAATCTATTAAGTGTAAGCTTTTAATATTTACATTTACAGTTTCGATAACAATAATGATAGTATAGAAAAGTAAACTATTACGTATATTAAAATTTAAAAAAGTTTTAATGAAATAAAAAAAAAAATGAATCATTAACTATTCTTAAAAGTAGTTAATTGTTTAAATTAAAAGTTCTTCTTTAAAAAGTATAAATTAAAACTTTGGTTTATGACAATAAAATTATACAAAACATTTGTAAAAATGTAATATGTTAGAATTAACTATTTCTCATTAAAGGTTACAATTACGTTTCGTGTCGTTTTATAATAAAATTTAATGAAGTAAGATATTTTAATAGGAAATAAAGCAAAAAAGTACTTTTTTTATGTGTTAAAAGAAGATGAATAATCATATTTATTATCAAGAACCCGAAATAGTGTACAGTTAAACACAACTGATGAATTAATTACAGAAAATATGAAATTATAAACTATAACATAGACTTTTGAAATTAATTTTCAACAATATAGCTTTAATTTTATTTGTGCCAATTGACTGTTATACGACTTATAATTTACCAACAAAACATTTACTCCATGAGTCAAATAATTGAAAAACATAGGCTCGTAATGTATATAGTTTTGTTTTTAATTAATTCTACATAAATATTAATTCAAAAGATTGTTTTAAATTCAAAATATGTACTACAAAATTTAAAAAAGTTTAAAAAATATCCACATTAAGTAAACTTTAAAATATACAAACATTAATTTTCATTGAAATACGTTGTTTTAAGTTATCAATAATAAACATTTTTATATTATTACAAGTAAATTGAATGTACATTTTTAATACACAATAAAAATATGCTCAAACAAAGTTAAAATCAATAAATTTAGAAACAATTTAAACAATATAAAGTAAATAATAAAATTGAAATTATTACAGTTTGCGCATTAAAGGGTATTTTACTAATTTATACTACTATGTATTTTTATTGAGTAACATTTTATTTTTAAAATACAGGTTTTAAATGAAAAAATGTAAAAGACCTTTTGGATGACTGGCCATTATTTCTTGAATAATAGTAATTATTTAATATGAAACATATTTTTATTTCTTCTTAACACTACGTAATAAATAAATATTCATTTTAGTTAACTATTTAAAAAAAAGAAAGATTGCACCACTCATTTTTATATTAATGAACAAAACAATTAATTGAAATATGTGCAGTTAAAATAGTTGAGAGAATTTTGGTGCAATATTTGTTTTCTTTCTCAGACCCACGCACAACAAATAATGCATTCGTGTAAAATTGTTTTTTATAATTTTAGAATAAAAACACATGTCATAAAATTTATAGAAGATAATATTTTTTGATAGTTTGACTAATGGGTTTTTTTTTATAAATATGTTTTTAAGAAATAGTTTTACTGGTTCCTACCTTTATCAATCAGTAGTAATACTAATATAGCATTGAGAAAATATAAATGTACTGTGTTTAATAGCCTTAAATAACACTTCATGTCAACGGCACAAAATATGCACTTAATAAATTGTCAACAAAACGTTTTAAGATGAATGTGCCTAGAAAAATATTTTCATGTAAACTATGTTCATCGAAAAAATATTAACTTTTTTTTATTATTATAGTTTTTTAACACAAAAAAAACTAAATATGTAATATTTTTAGCTATAGTACAGTGCTAAAGTATATGCAATGTTTAGACAAAATAAAAACAATTTAAAAACAAAACAAAAAACTTTTTATATTTTGAAGAAACCCGTGTCACGTGCTATATAGTAAATATATTGTCAAGGCCACTATGTAATGGAGAAATGACAAGTGGTTAAAACTACATCAAACTCGCCGTTCAGTAAAGTCTGTTGCAAAATATCAATACATAGTGTATGCCTGATCTCTTAGAAATCTATATAGATTTAAATTTAAATAAACAAAATAAATTGTATCTACTGACTTCAATGAATATTAGTGAGTTTGTTATTTGTTTCTAATTCGTATGCTTATCTCTCCATCGGTTAGAATGAACCACTAAATACAGGATCATTGTAGCCTTTATAGGGTTTTTAATTTTTTTTTTTTAAATTGTATTTTATCTATATTTAATTTTCACTTATAAGTATCACATTTGAAGAAAAACATGTCAAATATCCAGACCATACAAAACATTTTTTGCAAATATATTTATGTTATTCCACTCTGCGTACCGTTTATACAAAATATATTAGTAATACACCCATGAACTAAATGTAAATAATTAGGGTTTTATTTTTATAAATAAATAAATTCAAACAGGGTTAATTAAAAATAAAGGGCTCTAAAAAAAAAAAATTAAAAATCCATATACGCAATGTCTCATGAGGATTTACTAATTTAAAGTGGTAAGTTAATGGAGATTGTATGACTCTCATCATTTTAAATCTTTATAGTTTGGTATTCTGTAAATTAAAGGTACTTTATATCCATACTAATTATAACAAACATTTTATAAATTGTGTGTGTTTTGTGAAATGGGTTGTTATCATTACCAATTTTATGAAATTGAACAAAATATTGTCTCTAAATCGCATAACTGCATAATCTAAATTAGATACTTATTTTGTATAAAAATGACACTTCAACTATATATACTAAGAAGTTAATTTTATCATTTCCATCATCTACATGGTAATAACTGATAAATTATAACTCAATTTTATAACAATACTCAATCTTGAATTAATATTTTTACTCCATGAAAATTGATTTTTATTTTTTAATAAAAGTTAAAACGTAATTATATTGAAAACCGGAATTAACCTTAAATAATAAAAAAAACTAACGAAACATGTGTATTTGTAATAAGATAATGATTTGCTAATATTTTAAATGAAAATATCAGACTACAAACAACAAAGTAATCTACATAGCTTAAATTAGTATCAATTTTTATTTCCTACCTTGTTTAAATAAAATATACTACTTATCCTTTAAGTGAAACATTTATAAAACTTAATATTTAATTTAGACACAATAACACATAATGTTACGTTAAGAAAGAATAGATTCATTTTGTGAAGTTGATAATAACAATTTATGTAGCATATTCCATATAACATAAAAATATAAAAATGTACGAGTATATTAAGACCTAAATATTACAATAGCATAAATATGTATATGATGTACCTTTTACTAACAATTTATTAATTTTGTGACAAACTACTCATTGTTTCAGAATAAATTTCATGTTTTATTTATTTATTTATTTATTGTTGAATACCTTTTTTATATTTTAAAAATATTATCATCCCTTTTTGT